TCGTGTGACGTTAGCCGTCCTGAAATTGACAATTTATCCCGCATGTTCGAATCTGAAGTCCAGTTGAAAGACGAAGAAGAAATCAATATGTAACGACCCGGATCCCACTTAACGGGCTGTCCCGACCGTTAGATAGACGACATACTGTCCCCAATGTACCAACATGGGTATTTTCAACATGTTTTATCCTCACTCACACGCTCCCCAAGAAAACTTCCCAGGGGGTCACCCATCATAGAATTGCTCCAAGTCAAGCACGCTTAATTGTAGAGTTTCTAACGATGGACTTCTGAAAAAGAAGGTGTACCTTGTACCATATGAGTAGTACCTATCAAATTTTTTTAAACTTTCCTGATCTGGGTATTACAATCGCCCCTCGTTGACTCGCGATGTCCTCGTCAGGCGTGGAATTCTAGAGGTGGCTCCTACGAGTTCAAGAGGTGGCTCCCGCGCTATGGCGTAACACTTTGTCCCGCATAGCACTTAGTTCTCGATTTCCGGCTGGCAACCAAGCTCTGATACCATTTGTAACGACCCGGGTCCCACTTAACGGACTGTCCCAGCCTTTAGATAGACGACGTACTGTCCCCACTATACCAAGATGGGTCTTTTCAGCATGCTCCCCGAGAAAACTTCTCAGGGGGTCACCTATCATAGAATTGCTCTAAGCTAAGTACACTTAACTGTGGAGTTTCTAACGATGAACTTCTGAAAAAGAAAGTGCACCTTATTGGTAAGAGAAGTACCTATCAAATCTTTTTAAACTTTCCTGATTTGTGTATTACACAATATATCCATGATAGTGACAATCCGCACGAAGAAGTGAAATCATGTTTACTAAACACGAACAAAAGGAAGGAGTTGGGTTGATTAGTATGGGTTGATTAGTATGTTTATTAGTTTGCATCTGTTTCAGTGTAGAATTGCAAGATTGAAACATTTTGATTTTGGCGTAATAGATATGGTAGTCAGGTCCAGTTAGCATGCAGCCTGGAACTTGTTCCTATTTTCGTGTCTGGCAGTGTGCATGTCTATGTATTACTAGCCTTATATGCTTCCCTACATCGATTAGTCAAGTAAGTGGTATCAAACGTGACAACGTCCCTGAAATCCTTATATGCTTCCCTACATCGATTATCCGCCCAAAATACATTCCTTAATCGTGAATCGTCATCCAAATCCATACAAAAGTAAAATCCCACACACCGTGCCTGGATATTTGAAAAATACGACTGTATTGTTGCTGCATCTCCCTCACCAAGGCTTAATCGCCTAACTTGTTCTATATAGTTTCGACAATCCTTCTCTACACATGTCATATTTTCATATCCACCAGCTTCTACAACTGCAGAATTAAAACTTTTATGCAATGGAATTTCAGCCATGTCATTCACTTCAAGCTTCTGCTTCACATCGCACTCAATTCTCGATTGCATCGATACAATCTCGACTTCGTTGGACTTGTTTTGTGATTGTGGTCGATGTATACTGTGTTAATTCTCCAGTAACCATAATCATCTGAAGATGCGGAGATCCGGGCTTTGCAACCCTTCTGAATTGTTGGTTGCGGCTTCAATGAGCTGCTTGTGCTACCGCTTCTTCGACCTTCACGGCTACATGTGAAAGTCACATATCGCACAACTCCATCATCGTCCTTTCTCGAATTCCTTTTTCTCACCGGAAACCCTACGCTGTAAGCATATGATTTGTACAAATCAAAGACTTCATGTACATCCTTGAACTTCATACCAACCTCCGGCACAACAACTACATTCATATTGCATTCCGCGTTGACATTTTCGAATTCCACCAAACGGTCATTTTCGACGTCTTCCATCACATATTCTCCTACATAAAACTTACCACACACTTTTAGCTTAACAATTTCAGATTTACAGCAACATATTGATTCCAACATAAACATTCATTCGCACATATTCAGACACCCACTTCTGAAATAAATGAGTTCAAACATCCTACACGTTTGAAAAAATATGGCTGAAAACGATAACAATTGAATATGGCTGAAAAGGAAAAAAAATATGGTAGAGGTCTGCAAATATTCTACACAGAATATGGCTAAAAACGATAACACTTGAAAAAATCAATTCATACATTCGGGATACCTGATGCTGGGTAACAGGCTTCTTTGGGAGGTTGAGTAAGACGGAGATTTCGACCACAAATTAGGGTGCAATCGAACTCCTTTTTTTAGGCAACCGGTAAGAAAATCCGAAATATAGCTCCGGATCTGCTTCAGAAATTCGGAATTAGTCGAAGTCGTAGAATCCGCTTCAAAAATCGGGTTTAACTACTACAAAAATCTGGTGCAATCAAACTCATTTTGCGACGGGAATGTGGTCTGAATAGTTAGGATGTTGCCATTGAAGTAAGCTGCCACCAATTTTTGTACATCTACCGGAATGTGGTCTGAGTAATTAGGGAAAGTTAGTAGAAAATTTTGGGTGCCCCTGTTTTCATGAACTTTCACAGGTTGGTCTGTCTCTTTCCCGCCTTGGCAAAATGAATAAATTGTTCTTGCATCTCAGCCGTCCAGACCAACACATCTCGCCCGTCCACGTCATGTTGTCATCTAGTGTTGCGTAATCTAGTAGTGTACAAGTGGCTTTGTTGTTTTAAAAGACACCCAAACCAGATCAACTTTCAGAAGTTGGTCTCAAACCAGAACTTCCTACACGAATATTGTAAACGCCGAAAAATTCTCGCCTTCCGATGTTAGACAATAAAATTTCTTCCCTCCTACCTCTGATTTCTTATCCTTTAATTAATAATAATAATAATAATATTTATAAATATCTGATTTTGTTTTTACTAATCTCTCCTCAAAGCGACAAAAGGGTTGATTTCATAGAGTTCACTCAACTTCAGATAAAGTCTCAATTGGGTCATCCCACTTTAAAATATTCCAATCATACTACTAGTCTTCATAATTATTTCAACTAAGGCCACTCTATCACATATTGTTACTAAAACTAATGAGCCTTGCTTGCATAGATGTTAAAACCTTAAACGATATTGTTGTGGATGAATTTACTTAAAAGTTGACACTCACGATTTCAATATACAAGTTTAAAAAAAAAACACGATTCACTCACTGATTACCAAATTTAAAATTGGGTTTGACTTTCCAAGTAAGTGGTTACCTACTATTGAATTGAAACTGTATACACCCCGATTGCACAAATTCATCCATATCGATATTCATTAAGTATTGACAACTGTGCAATTGAGTTCATTAATTTTAATGATTGCATATGACAACAAGGTTGGTTTGATACAATTCTTTCATGTTTCAAAAAAAAAATTGTAGTTAGAATAATGATCAGATCAGAATCGTCCAATTATTAGACCAGAAGTCTAATAAATTTTAATTAGAACGAGTCCAATTTTCGTCCGAGTTGGGCGTTTCTCAGTAAAAATGTCTATCATGGGACATAGTGGCCTTAATTGAAATAATGGTAAAGTTTAGGTTGTGTTTGATACACAACATTTTCCTTGGAAAATGGAAAAACTTTTCCATTTACATGCAAAAGTGATGTTTGATGGGAGAAATTTGGCCAAGAAAAACTTTTCCACCCCCACCCCCACCCCCACGCACCTTATTTCCTTGTTTTTAGGGAAAAGTTTTTCCAGGTGGCTGATGTCATTTTTTTTTTTTTTTGCCATTGAAAACAAATTTCATAACTAGTTATAAAAAAAATTCACTTTAATAGACAATTTTCATGTAAAATGAAGTCAAACGAATACTAAATTTTGATTAAAAAAATGATTTTTTTATAAAACAAATTATGATTTTTTTTTTAACTTTTTGGCAATGTCAACAAATTTTATAACCAATTGTGGAAAAAAATCACTTTAATGGACAATTTTCATGTAAAACTAAGCCAAACGAACACAAAATTTAAAAATTTTCCACCAAAAAAATTATACCAATCAAACACACTTAATTAACAATTCCCTGTAAAATAATTTCTAGGCAATTAGTGGTTGTTCTCTTTGTATTTCTGTTTTAAGGTTTGAATTTATTTTGTGTTTTGTATTTTGAGTTTTGAGTATCTATTTTGAAATTTCTGAAAATGCGTTCTTTTCACAATTCTGAAAAATTGTTTCTGAAAACATAAAAATAGAAAACGCGTTTACTTTGAAATTTTGAGAATTTTTTTAATAATATTTTATGCAAGAAATCTGATAATTCAATAAGTTTTACTAGTTTAATGTTAATATAGTATTAAATAACATAGTTTAATGATTAACCGCGTGAACTTTCTTCTCTGATTCTTAAGTGTTAGAAGCAGAAGTTACTGAACAAATGGAGCAATAAACAGTCTGTCAAAGTACAAACAAATTTAGAGGATGCCAATGAGGTGGCTCGACTGTCCTAGTGGGATTGTTAATGTCAGGAGACTAAATTATACATCAGCTGAATCGTCTATTCATGGACATGGACAATTTTATTAGGAATGATGATTTTGTGCAGTTTCAGATTATGAAATTTTATTCTTAACTCACTTGAGCATTTCATACCATTTCGTTATGATAATTTCGGAATCTCCTTTTGGAAACAAGCTTTTAACCTATTAGAAAAAAATACTTAAAAGTAACTTTTAAGCACTTGTGAAAACCCTTCAACGTTGATAACATCACCACTCATGTAAACCCTTCAACATTGACAAACCCCAAAAAGTACGAAATGATTGAGTAAACAGAAATCTTGAAAGTTACGAAGTTTCACAAGAAAGGATCCGACTCCACTTAAAAACGCTCGGGCAAAGCCCAACCACACTTTTTCAACATAGTATAAAAATCATTGTATAACAGAACATAAGACGACGGCTGGTTATATGATTTCTCAATAGTCAATTCAACTGGAATTAGCTAATGTAACTTATAAGGAAAGATTTAGTAGAGAGGGCAAAAAACCTGAATTGTCATACTAAAAAATACTAAAATGGATAAAGACAATAGGAATCTGCCAATCCTTAAAGCTGAGTCAAAAAGTTCATTTCTTCGCCTTCTTGGCTCCCCTGTGATGCAGAATTCATAGAGTTAAAATCACAGTTTCAATAACTAATGAAAATGCTTGATTCGAACGATTTTTCAAGTCACTTACTGAGCTGCCTGGGGTGAAGGAGAAAAAAAAAGAGAAAAAAATGCAATTTTTCATAAAGCCCAAAAACTCAATCAAGATAATGACAAATCATACATAAAACGTGGTACTATTACATTTACTCAAAAACTAAAATGTTCGTTAGACACGAGTTTCATGCAACTTAGCCACTATTTGACCCCATTTTTCTAAAACTTGTCTTCCCTCGAATCATTTTCAATCACATCGGATCCATAACTTTTATCAATTTTTCAATCACACATTTCATCAATTTTATCAAAATTTACTAAAAATCTGATTTTTATCTAAACCAAATAAGGGGCTTAAATATTTTGATAGCCTTCATTTGGATATCAATGCTTGAAGCTTCTATATATAATTCAATTGTTACAATAGTTACTATTGAACAAAAACCTACAAAGGGATTGCAGTTAATCACCTGAGCCAAACGCTCCTCCCTCCTAGCTATCTTTCTTTCCCTACTAGCCTTGTTCTTTGACTCCCTGTATTTGCGAAGCAAGCGCCTGAGCACCCTCATTCTCCTCATCCAAAGTACTTTAGTTGGCAACCTTGCCTCCCTAGTACCCTTGCGCTTACCTGAAATAATTTAGAAAACATCTTAGATATCAAACATCTATGCTCCTCCTTTCAATCAAATTTAAAACATAACAAAATGATGAAAAAGATCAATCAATTAGCAAAATGATTAAATAACACACGCTTTAATGCAATAAACAATTAGCAGGCAGTACACGATTTATGCATTCCAAAATTAGAAGACATTACCCTATGTCCAGAGTGATGTCCCTTTATCTTTGCCTCCTTCGTTCGACGAGCACGAGATCGAGAATGAATCTTGGTTGGCTTCCTAATGATGAAAGCATCCTTGACAAGCTTCATGATATTTTGACCTGAATTTTATGCAAATAAGATTCAAACACAAGTATATAATTCTGTCACAAAATGTATATACATTGCAGTACTGAGAAAATGCAGCAGTTCATTTGTGCCAAATATATATTCTAAATCTTTAGCAGGCACAGAAGGCAGATGCACATCATTAGGAAACCTACAGCTATGCCTTAACAATCAATAACAACCCACCCGCACCCAATCTGATTTAATGTTCAATTCTTTTTAAGAGTATATGTAATTTTGACTGATGAGCCAACCCCACTGTTTGGCTACCCTTGAATTCTTTTCCTCTCTGTTGCATAATAATGAACACATGCATAGCAATTTCGAAAACTTTAAACTCCAATAATTCATCTTATGGTGTGAAGTGGAAAAAAAATTACAGTCAAATTCATTCATAACACATTAATAATCTCACATGGTTGGCATAGAAAATCAATCTCAGCTTCTCTACTCTATTCTCCAGTACCTCATAAGAAACAAAAGATCCCAACCATGCACAGGACAAAACAATCACAATGGCAAAGTTAGTATCGAAAAATGAAGGAAAAAATAGTTTCCAAGGAAAGAAACAGGGGTAACTCATAGATACATTCTGTTGGCGATAACAATGATAAGAAAAAATGATGAAAAGTGGCACACCTGCACATTTCTCTCTTCCATTAGGATCTTCTTGGCCTTCTCACATACCAACCTCACCTACACATGAACGAAGCTGTTGACAAAGACCTTTTCTTTTTAAATAGGCAAAATCCTTCTTGACCGTAGACGAGGAAATAGAAGAAGATAATGTGTGAATCGAAAATGAAAATTAGTCACAACCCAAGCATTCTTATTTTAGGTTTTCTTCAATTTATCTACCAAATTAACAATTGAAATTATATCACAAACATTTTCTTGGAATCTTTCTCTCTGTATCACATCAATTAACTTCATCTTATATCCAAAAACTATGGTCAAATGTGAGAACCAGTAACAATCCTTTGATTGCAACCATTTCCATCCTTGATTGAACAACCCAATATCCTCTATCACTTAAATAACCCTTCAAAATCCTGATCATCAAGTAGTAACAATCCTTTGATTGCAGCCATTTCCATCCTTGATTGAACAATCCAATATCCTACATCACTTAAATAACCCTTCAAATTCTTGATCACCAATCAGCTACAACAAAAATTCATATAAGCCAAATCTCGCAATAACAAAAATCAATATTTCATCAAAATTCCCTAAATTCTGCTATTGATAGCCTTTTAACCAGAGATGGGATAAGTCCATATCTCCAAAAGAATTATGCTACGTCACTGAGTTCCATATTTATAAAGCAAGATTTTGATCTAACTTAATTTCCACCATCTAGAGCACGAGTAACAATCCCACTTAATGAATTCACAGCAACACTTGCTTGATATAATTGATTTTCTGATTGAAAAAATGATTTCACAATTTTCAACGACTGCTCCAACAAGCTCAGTTGATTCCGAATGAAATTGAGGCTGACCCATGGTAGAACTAGATGCTCCTGGTTGAGAGAAATGTTGTGGTGGTGCTCCACGATCTAGAGGGTGGCCAGATGTCGAAGTAACGGGGGAAAAATCGTGACTGCTATAGCGATTTTGGGTGGGAATTGGAGCTGTTTCCTACGGTCGGTGGGCAGGCGATGGTCAGAGGTTGTAGAGGGAGGTGAGGGAGTGTCGGTGGTGTGGGGTCCGACAGCTTAGGTGTGGGTGGTGGAAGTTATTGATGGAAGGAGGTGGCAGATCGGTAGGTCAAGAAAGAGGAAGTATTTTGGGGGAAATGGAGACTGTTTTCCGCATTTTGGTTCATCAACATGTTTTGCGAAGAAAATGCTCAAAATGTCTCTTTAGACGTTTTGAGTTTTCAGTATTTTTTATTTTTATTTTTCAAAATTCATTTTCGAAAACTGGAAAGAGAACGCGTTTTCCTTATTTTGGAAAATTGAAAACAGAAAATGACCTGAAAATGACAAAGAGAACAGACCTTACTTTCCCTGAAATTCATTTTATTTCCACCCATTTTCCACCTTTACAAACAAACGGACGCTTATTCATTCAGCTGAAACATTACAGCTCTCTCTAATTTCGAGTTAATTGTTTCAACAGTCATCGAACTTTACAAAATGTCACGTTTCACTAACTGAACTTTAAGTTGCACTCCATCACTAACTGAACTTATTTAAATTGCACTCCATCACTCACCGTCTTAATTCCGTCATACCGTTTGCCTACGTGGAGGACGATTTTTACACTTGGCTGTTAAACCCCTTCTATGTTGCAGGCAATTGCCGTGTCATTAATCCCAAACGGCCAAACACAACTCCCCTTGAATCGCGTGTGGAACCCTAGGCTGAGAAAAGTTTGAAACTTGGACGGTGGATTTCAGTAGAGCGTGAACCCAGAATCGAAGCTAACCCTCCATCATCATCGAAGGACCCATCCCGACCACGAATATTGGTGTTTCCAACACTCGGACATGGAGGGTCCACAAGGAGGTAATTCCCATTCAATATTTTTGTTTGTTTCTTCTGTACGCCCAGTTAAAAGAAAGTTTCTGCTCCAATTAGATTCATTTTCTATAGGTCTGTACAGGTTCTTGGTCTTTGAAATTGCGGATTGATAGTATTGGACCCATTTGTTTTCAATAATTAGTAAATAATTGATTATGATTAGCATTAATACATAGATTAGCATTAATTTTCAAAAGAATCTGACAGACATACTATCTTAACATTTAATACATAGATTACTTTGATTAATTGCATTGCATACTCTCGTGCCATTAGAATCAGTGTGAAAGAGTTTTTATTTATTCTATCACAATGCAAATCAATTAATTTTTATGCAAATTAATCTTAAAAAACTCTGCAGAAGGTCAAGCAAACATCAGAAAAATGACATATATAATTAAATTCTGCTTCAAATAAAAAAATTTCTTTCTTCCACAGCTTGTTTGTTTTGTTTGATCTCATTTCAATTTATTGTTTCTGTGATAGATACGGAGGATGACACTGACTTTGGGGATTCAGATAATGACTTCTCGATTGGTGAAGATGATAGACTATTCGACATTAATGTGACGGAGGGAATTGAGATAGGTTGTGATGGAGGGGCAATTGAACAAGAAGGAGAGCTTGTAGTGGTTGAAGACGAAAATGACAACTCCGACGATTTGGAATTTACATCATCCGAAGAACTGCTGTCTGTCATGTCATCTAACGATGAGGTTGGGTATCGCTTCACAGAGTTCGTGGCTGAAACGGATATGCGGGATCCACAACTTCATATTGGTCAGTTGTTTAGTTCTATACAAGAATTTAGGAAGGCAATCCGAACTTATGGTGCAGTAAACGGATATAATGTGAAGTGTAAAGTGAATGACAAAGTAAGAGTTCAAGCAATATGTAAATCAGAATGCCAATGGAGAATATGGGCATCTAAGATGAATAATTCGGACACAGTTCAAGTGAAATCATATACGGCACAACACACATGTAGTAGGGATCAATACAATCGTCATTGTAACTATATCATCATAGTCCATCGCTACATTGAGCAATTCAAGGTAGATCCAGAGTGGAAAACGAAGAGTATGCAGGCTACAGTGAAGGAGGATTTGAAGATAAACATTACTAGAAATGTAGCGTGGAAAGCCAGAAGATATGCGAAACAATTGATCAATGGGACTGTTGAAGAACAGTTTGGGTCACTGAGGTCATATGCGGCAGAGGTTTTGAGGACCAATCCAGGGTCCACAGTGATGATAGCACTTAGGGGGCAGGTTTTTCAAGCTATATATATATGTTTCAGTGCTTGCAAATTAGGATTTCAACATGGGTGTCGAAAATTCATTGGAGTAGACGGGTGCCATCTCCGTGGTGTTTGGGGTGGTATAATGCTCACTGCAGTTGGCCTGGATGCAAATGACAGCATTTATCCAGTTGCTTATGCTGTTGTCCAGAAAGAGAACATAGTTGCATGGAGATGGTTTTTGAAATACTTGGCGAAGGATATTCAGATGGAAAATGGACGTAACTGGACTGTGATGACCGATAGGCAAAAGGGCTTGAGCAATGTATTGACGAGTTATTTCCGGAGGCAGAACGTAGGTTTTGTGTTAGACACATGTATACAAACTTTTTCGATAAAGGATTTAAGGGTAAGACTTTGAAGGACCTACTTTGGCGGGCCGCTAAGTCAACTACTATGGCCGACTTCAAACGATGGATGGAACGAATTCTGCAGGTTAGTGAACCCGCTTATAAATGGTTGATGGAGAGGCATCCTTTCGAGTGGAGTAGATCTCATTTCAGGACACATTCTAAGAGCGATATGTTGTTGAACAACTTATGTGAAGTTTTCAATAAGATGTTGATTGATGATAGGGAGAAGTTGATTGTAGCTATGCTGAAAGATATACAGTTGGATTTTTTAACTAGAATTGAGAAGCGTCGAAGTAAGATGAGGGTGTGCGGAGGGCGATTGTGTCCAAGAATTAAAAAAAGGCTTGTTAAGATATCTGAGATGTCAAATGAATACACATTGCATTTTTCAGGAGGGCCTAGATGGTAAGTGGATTGTAGGTCAGATTCATATGTCGTTGACTTGGAAGAAAGAGTTGTGCATGTAGGAAGTGAGAGTTGACAGGAATAGAATGTACCCATGCATTGGCCATCATACGGGAATGTAGAAATGATCCTGAGGAGTATGTTGACAACTGCTATACAGTGGATACGTATTTGCAATGTTACGACAACATTTTGAATCCAATCAATGGAATCGATTGTGGCCCCAGTTGGACACTCTTCCAATTATGCCACCATTATGGATGACTCCGCAAAGGGGAAGAAAGCAAAAGAAAAGGAGACGGTAAGCAGAGGAAGATGTTATAGCAACCACCCAGGGGAAATCACATGTCAAGAGAAAAGGAAGAGTATCGATGACATGTTCAATATGTAGCTTAAAGGGCCACAACAAAAGATATCATTCTAGAGTTGACGCACCTGATGACATAAGTAGTTGACTGGATTTTTTTTTTGTAAATTTTGCGTCAAATAACAACTTAATTTTTTTCCCATCTCTAGAACTGGTACGAGGGACATTTGGAGCCAATTGATACGGGCAAGCATGCTTCGGATGACGTAAGAAGAAATGTAAGTAATTATAATAGCTAATTCCACTTTCTCTTCACTTGGAACCTGGTCTACGCGAACCTGGTCTATGCTTTCTTTTGGATATACAGTTGGAATTTCAAAGACAAGTGCATCTGGCTGTGAGAAAGAAAAAATAGGGATGTGTACATTATTCCATGTTGCAGAAAGTGTTGATTTAATGCTGATTGGTTATTTTCATTGATAGGGAAAACTGGTTCCTGACCGAGGGAATGGATCTAGTTCAAGCCAAGCACGTGAGTGTCACTTCATGCTAACTCTTGGGGTTACGCAGCGACCTGCTGTTCTCAAGGATGGGCCAGCTCCTTCTGTCCCTGATGGTGGAGCATCCTTCGTAGAATAAGTAGAACATCAAGAAACAGATGGTAGTAGTCATGCAGGGACACCAGATTTTTGATGGATTCGAATACCTGTCCTGCCTACTTCCAGCCGATACTTTTGATGGATTCAAATACCTATACATAGGAATCTAGTTTTTTGGAATTTTTTTGATGGTATTGGCTGGTTTTGTGTCAATGTTTGCTGGTTTAATGCTGGTTTTGTGCGAGTGTGGGCTGGTTTTGTACCAATTTTGGCTGGTTTAATGCTGGTTTTGTGCCAATGTGGGCTAATGTTGTGCCAATGTTGGTTGGTTTAATGCTGGTTTTGTGCCAATGTGGGCTGATTTTGTGCCAATGTTGGCTGGTTTAATGTACAGATAGTAATGTGACATAGGCAAATATGTAGGTGCAGTGGAAGGTGTTCAAATCATTGTGATCAGATTTTTTTTGTGGCTCAGTGATTATAAATGCTAGTTTGCTCAAATGTTCAGTTCTTGTGAAACCTCACCATTCTGGTTTGCTCAAATCATTATGATCAAATGCTGGTTTTTATGTGTACAGTTAAAAATATTAGGAGACGAATGGTTAGAGAAAGAGGTGCTTGGAGAAAAAATCAAGTTAAGAGCAAGAAAACCGAGTTAATTTCATCAATTTCAACATAAACTTCAAAGAGTCAACAACTATTTTAAAAAATTGAACTCCATGACATTTCATCACTAATATTGACAAAAGAAACCGTATTAAACAAAGAAAAAAATGGAGACAACACACCATGATAACAACCAGGAAAAGATTTCATTTTCCAGATTTCATTACTAATATATTGATAATCACCAAGATTACGGTACATCACTGCATATCAATAATTTATCCAGTACATTCCTTACTAATTCGGCTAACTTACATAACCTACATAGGATAACATTAATTTTCGAAACCATCTTCTCATCAACTACGCAGTTGGATTGCCTTCGCTAATCTCTTCCCTTTTGTTTCTCATTCGCATCCACATCTCCTTTTCCCTTGCGGAACGTAATGTTGATGGAAATCTCGACGTCCGATTGTTCGGTAATTCGAGTACATGTTTTGAACAAACCCGATAGATCTTCAGTTTGACGCTCAGGGTTATGAATATCTGAACAATCACACCTTGATTCCTGTACATTTTTTACACCACTGGACTGGCCCTCATCTTGTAATGGTACACGTTTGTTGGGCGCAACATTACTCCACTTGAAAAAGCCGCAATTTCTAGTGCAATAAAAGAATAACCGACCAATGTTTGCGGTCTTTTCTACTTCCATCCATTTCATAAAACCATCGGCACAATCTGGACATCTTTGCTTTGTTGGGCATGTCCACAATTGGTGCCCTGGTTGTCTGCAACTGTGACAAATGCCCTTATTCTTTCCTACACAAAAAAGATTGGTAAGAAGCAAACATAAAAAAAGAAACCATGACAAATGCTCTTCAAATGCTTCCTGGTTATAACAAATAAAAAGAATCTAGGAAAGAGACAATCTGAACAAATAAACTGGTCAAATTCATCCTTGAGATTCTGGAGATATGTTTATTTTCTGAAATGCAGACGAACTCAATAATATTTTCTGCCGTTCTTTCTTCCTATAGTATGAACTTTTTAAATAGAGGTAGAAGTTCCCTATCAGTATAATCTTACCATTTACGGCATTTTAATGTAGCGGCACAAATAATGGCCATTGGGTTGTCAATATTCTTGAACATGTCACTGTTATTCCAACAACAAATCCAGCAGAGGAAGATGAAATTAACGTTTCACAGAGATGGGAAAATTTCTGAAATTACCTCCATTTGTTCTCTCCATGTCAACGGATTCAAGAATCACACTTATTGGGCTTTCAAATTTCGATTCAATTTTGTTTTTTGGGTTATGGTTCATACAATTTGGGAGTTTCTTCGAGGAGAGATTTGGGAATAGGGTTTGTTCATACAACGGTTTGTTCACGCTTTCTCTCATTATAAAAGATGTGTAGTAGGATTAAAGACATGTCAGCAATGTAGAAGGGGTTTAACGGCCAAGTGTAAAAATCGTCCTCCACATAGGCAAACGGTATAGACGAAATTAAAACGGTGAGTGATGGAGTGCAATTTAAACTATGTTTGGTACACATTCTTTGGAAAGAATGTATTATTGAATAATAGATTGATGGAGAATGTGTGGTTAAAAATGGAGGAAAAGTTATTGATGTGATGAAAAATATTATTTTATTGAAAAATATATGGTTGAAAATGAGTAAAAGAATAAGAATGAAAAAAAATAATGTATACCAAACAGAGCCTTAAATAAGTTCAGTTAGTGGTGGAGTGCAACTTAAAATTCAGTTAGGGAAAAGTGACATTTTGTAAAGTATTGTTGAAACAATTAACTCCTCTAATTTCTCTCTCTAGAGTAAAAGCCCTGAAATCTCGCTCTCGAAAATTTACGGCTAGAACTCAGAATTTTTTCTTCAATTGTCTTTATTTTATTGCCTACGTTAACACACGATCTATATATTTATATTTTTACTCATGTATTCAAGTATTTATTCTCGTATATATCGCAATCTGTGCTTTCCGGGTGATAATCGTTTGACGGCGATTTGATTTGATTGCGATTTTGCTTAGTTCAATTAAAGCTTAATTCGATACCTGAAGGTTGTAGTTGAAACCTATGAGTGTTGAAAAACTTAGGGTTACTTGGATGTGGATTAGTATTATTTATCTTATTATTGTATAAATGCTTTTGGAAGGGGATCTAGGGTTTTTCTACAGAGTGGTGGCTGCGGCTCTGGTGGTTCTGATTGCCCCTGTGGGCTGGTTGGTGGTCCGCGGGAAATGGAGGCACAAAGTGGACAGGAAGGAAGAGATCAGGAGACTTCTGGCCTTGGCCTCCGATGAGGCAGCTAGAGCTGAGTTTGAGGCTGCCGCTGGCTACAGCTATGTTTATAGCTATGGCTCTCCCGTGATGGCCGAGCCTGAGGAGGACACAGTGGTTTCTGTGTCAGGATCATCGCCCTTGCGGCAATCTCAGTATCAGTGTGAGGTGTGCTTTTCTCCAACTACAACGCGCTGCAAGCAGTGTAAAGCTGTTCATTACTGGTATGTTGCAATTTTTCTTTAGTCCTTTATCTTTGGATTCGGTTACTTTTTTATGCATACAATTTGCTTGCCTGTCATGCTTTATTGTGTAGGTTAAAGACATTGGTTATGCTCTTTTTATTATAGTTTCTTGGAGATTTGGTACATTTTTTTGTATAGAATTTTTCATATTGGACGTAATGTTGGAATGAAGTTTGATCTAGGGCGTGTAGCAATACTAGGCACTGGGATGGATCATCAAAAAGTTGTTGGTACATAAAATTTGTTGATGGCTCTCTATTCGGGTTTTTTTTTAAATTATAAGCTAATGTCTTCCAAATGTAATTCTTGGATAAAAAAGAGGTGAAGGGAAAGGGAATGACAATTAAATAGTTGCCACAAATGGAGGTGATTCTATTTGTTCATCATTATAACTGCAGTTAGATAAAGATTCACCAAGTATTTCTTCACTTTGTCCCCGTTTATTGCTGAATGTGCTGCCACTCACTAGCTCCAATCTAATCAATGTGAACAGTAATAAACTGCATAAATTTAGGTGCATGCTTCAATATAAGGGACTCACATCTATGAAAAGGAAATGATTGGTTGTATGGAACTATTTTTTTTAAATCTAACTCAGTTTTAATCCCATTCTAAGTTTAGAACTAATATTTTCTATTCTGCAAAAGTGGTACAAAATTATGCTCGTAATAAACTATAAACCGTTGAATATCAATAATAAAATAATTTATCAAGATTACGAGTCTACTTTATAAACAAACTTAAAATATATCAATAAAGTGGCAAATATTCTTCAAATTTGTGAGCACATAACAAAGTTGTAATCTACTATTAGAAGTAGAAAAAGCCTAAATTCTTCCACCATCACTAGTAATTAGATCTTCAAGAGAACCATCAACATATTTCATTCCTTATCATCCTCCTTATCACAATAAATTTCGTCTCAATTCTCTTTCCTTGTCATCCACTTTCAACGTTTCCTTTCCGGCCCTCTAGGACAGACAAAGATAGCGACGAGAGAAGTGTAAAACAAGAGGTGAAGCTATGTATCATTGGTTGCGTGTTGGTGAAAATCTTGCAACTTCACTTTGCATCAGTTGTAGGAGGCTAGGGCTCACTTGCTTGACTTTTCTCGTGTCTTTTTCAGTTCTTTCTTTCTATTTTTCAAGGTTGAATTGTGTTTTAGATACCCTAGGAATCCTTTAAGGTGTACCAGGCCATAAAAAAGTAGCCCCAATTCCAAAAGCTGAGGTCGGTGATTAAAAGCCTAGAAAAGTGTCTTCAAATGAGCGGACACCTAAGTAGACATGAGGCTTCTTCCTAAAGGTGTACGCTTCAATAAGTCAAGGCATAATGAGCCTTGGACCTTTTCAGAAAAATGGTTGGAATGGAGCATAATTATAGGACAAGAAGAAGAGGAAGTTGGATGGGAATATAATTCAGATCTTTTCCCCCCTCTTCCGAAGAAAAGCTATTCATTTTCTTGTCTTTTTCTTCTGTTATTTAAATAACATTCATGGAAGTTTCTGTGTAATATTCAATTGCTTTATAATCGTCTAAAATCTCGTTTTCCCTCTCCAAGAAGCTGTCTCCCCTTTTTCTTTGTTACTTAAAAAAATCCTTTTCTTTCCTTTCTCTGCTATTATCTGAGTTCACAATAAAAAAAAGTTCTGCTGTCATTCTTCCCTCCTTGTAGTATCCCCGTGTTACGCTTCACCAGTTTCAAAAAAAAATTAGGAAAGCAAAAAGCTTCAAGTTTTGAGGAAATCTTCTCATAAGAAAAGTAAATTTAGAGCTTGTTTGGGAGAGCTTACAATCCAATTAAAATTGAAAATATAGCCGTTATTGAGTCCTACTCATCTAATAAAAGTCAACGACTAGTTTTTCAATTTTAATCCGATTTTAATCTCTACCAAACACACTCTTAGTATTTCTATGTTTACCCCTTACATATAGGAGGTTCAGACTGATTCTTTCATGGTTTGGATTTTTTGAATTATCTTGTTCTGTTCTCCTAGAAACAAATGGTGCCTTTGGATAAGCCGGTTCTTCTTGTGGTGTTTGTTCTAGTTCTCATTTCAATTGGAAGGAGGTACAGGTAAGATAAAATTAGAGTGGGAAGAGTGATACCCCATACCGCGTGAAGGGAATATGTAGCTTTCCAGATATGAGCATATTTATAATGACATCCATAGTTTCTTTCTCTATTGGCTTTTAGGAATTATGGATGAGCAAGGTCACACACCAAATGTTACCAACAGTTTCTTTTCATAATTTTTATTGAGAGATTATATCTTCCGTTTTTTTAAAGCAAGTTTCGCTCTACTGTGGTTTCTGGAACTTGCTGAACTTCCTATTAATGGTTAAAACATGGTCTACTAGCCATTTTAGTTTTTGAAGTCTACCAGTGTAGTCCCCAACATCAAATCAACTTAACAACATTAAAAAGAGTCTACGTTTGATGGTATAATAAGATATAACTTCCATATGCTATGGAAAATTAGCTAATAAACACTTCTAGTTTGTAGCGTTTTGTTATATAACCCGTCTAATAGTGTAAAGTGTCAACCTGAAGCCATTGACTTGTGGAGGTCATTGACAGTTTTCGACGTAAAGAGGGGTATACTAAGCTACTTCTGTCACCATAGGGATTAGGGACCAATGCGATTTCGGAAAACATAGGTGGTGAGACACAATTTTTGATTGCATAGGAGTGAATCATGTGATTGACATTTACTTATTTCCACAATGGGTAACTAGTGATTCTGATATTTACGATGCTCCTATTAGCAGTTTTCTCGTGTCTCAAGGATAAAACATGTTGCACCTATAAACCTCATATTGTTACTGTTTCAGCTCTGGAAAATGTCAAATAATCCATTGGCGACAAGGTCACAAGGATGAGTGCCGTCCATGTAATATCACTCACCAGAACATGGACGTGGGTGTCCATTCTTGTCGTAAGGAGTTTAAGCAAGATGAGGTTGAAAGTAGTGGTAATGTTATCAGGAGTCAAGGAAAGAATCTTGCAAAACCAGTTGACTCATCTTTTGGAGAATCTACATTTATAAAACCCAGTCTTCGTGAGGTACCTAATGGGAAAGGTGGTACTGAAGTTGAGAAGGTTGTTGATGAGAAACAAAAAGATGTAACTTTCATGTCATCAGTTCACTCACTTCCTGATGAATATTCACCGTCCTCCGTTTTGGTGGAATTGTCTGTCGCTTCAGGTGGAAACTCAAATGACTCTTGTAGATATGATGGGAAGACTACCTGCGCTAACATGGAGAGAAGGAGACTCTCATTGGAGCAACCTATCGTGTCTGATTTTACTGATGATGTTGCTACAAATAAACCAAACCAGTTCAAGACTAGCTGTAGTATTGATTCACATAATAGCAGCGAATCATCAACTTCATTGGGTTGGACTGGCACGGGCTTGGAAGAGCACTCACTTTCTGAACCTACTACGCCCTCTTCTGGTTTTTGGGAGGGATCAATTGATGCACTTGATGAATGTGGTCGTGTTAACGTACCGGATTCTCTTTGTTCTGGAACCTTTTCTACTGCAGCTAGAATTAATGTTCATACTGTGGAAGGACCAAGTTCTGATGCAAATAGAAATATGGCAGGTGATCCTCTTCCAGCTACATCAGTGTCCAAAAAGTTGACGGATGAAGCTCCAATATCGAAAGAAGCAAGTCCATATGGTCTGGAGTCTAGAATACCACCATTAATCAGTTCAAAAACATTTAATTGCAATGATGTTCAGAATATTTCCACTAAATGTACTTCAAAGTTGAGTGAAGCTAAGGGCTCATCAAATGCTTATTTTGTTCATACAGCATCCAGCTCTGAAAAGAATTTGCAAAGTAGAGATGTTACAAGAGATAGTGGTTTGCAATCGCCGACACCTGATATGTTAAATAGTAGGGTTGACAACACAAGCAATATTTCACAGGCTCCGAAATTTCATGAAGTTGATTGTCTGACATCTAAAGTTGCTGGAGCTCATTTCTTTTCTGGCACCAGGAAGCTTACTGTTCCTAATGTGCAGTCCATGAAGATTGACTGCACTCATGGGATTGATGCTTGTTCTTCAGAGTGTGGTTGTCATTCAGAAAATGCTAGGATTGACTTGAATAAATCAGCGAGGACTTTGGACCCACTCAGAGATTCTAAATTAATGTGGCATAGTTCGTTAGGCTCTCGAAGTGATGTTATGGGAAGATTCAAGGTCTGCATGAAGCTTGCTTTGTTATATTCATCCACAATTCCTACATATGAAGATATAGGGCATTGCTAAAGTGATCTTTTTTACAGGGGCTGTTTCCTTATGACCTCTTTGTGAAGCTTTACAATTGGAATAAGGTTGAATTACATCCACGTGGACTCATAAATTGTGGAAACAGGTAACATGCCATACTTGTCCTCATTTTGGCAAAATATGAATGTATTTTAAAAGCTTCATGTTGTTTTTCCTCTTTGAAGTATGTGCTCTGCATAGTTCTATCAATACATGTCCCCTATGTTGCTCGGACTCGGATGGAGTGTCGGATACGGGTACTTATCTAGGAGTCGGATCCTTCGCATTTTAAAAATTAAGATACGGGGATACAGTTAAAAAGGATCCGAATTTTGGATACGAGTACGGGGGTACGTCTTACAAAATATTTTTAAAAATGACAAAACAATGATTTTATTTTATTGTAGTATAAATATTTTTAGTTTTATAATTAATAATATTGAATTTGTGATTTTTAATTACTATATAAAATGTTGACATAAATAAAAATAAAAAATAAAATTTTTCATAAAATTAATTTAAGCAATTGGATTATAATTTGAAATTAATTTAAATTTAAAGTCAAAATATTTTTTTTCCAAAAAAATTCAAAGAAAAAAATCAATTTCAATATCTTATATATTATTTAAAAATAATTATAAAGATATAAATTTAAATTTAATAAAAAAAAAATTATAACATTAAATTATTTTAATTACCAAATAAAAAGTTTGCACAAATAAAATATAAAAAATAAAAATTTTAATACAAAAATAAATTTAAATTAAATGGACTTGATCTTATAATTCATCCCAATAAAATAATAAAATGTTATCAACTATACATTTACAAAACCCATATAAAATATTAAAATATTGGGTCAATAGCCCACATTAAATTAGGGTTTTTCTCTTCTTCCCCAGCAGCTCGTCTTCTCTATTTCCTCTGCAACTTCTCGTCTTCTTTGTTTCCTTAGCAACAATCATCTTTTTTTGTTTCTCTCTTTCTCCGCCACCGCAAGTCCTCATCTTCTCCCTTTTGCTGCTGTGTCCAAGTGCAAAGCTGAGGATCCGATCCATATCCCGTGTCGGTATCCGTGCCGTGTCGTGTCGACACGGATACTTCTCCATTTTTGGAGAGTCCGAGCAACATAGCATGTCCCATGTAACGCTCCCTTCTTCCCCCCAACACACACATTGAATTTAATATAACATGCAACTTTTTGTTAATTAAATCTTTGGGTGTGTTTGAGCCCCATTTTTATGTAAAATAGAGTTTGTAATAGTGATTTTTTATTTGAGAATGTGTAGTTAAAAATTATGTGAAGCATGAACATGTTGGCTGGGTCAACTGTTGGTGTCGGTGTCCAACATGTCTTGCACACTGACGCATGCCGGCACGCCAGTTGGTGCCTGTCTCTTCTCTTCTTTTTCTTTTTCCTTCATACACGCTGTGGACATGCCTCCGACATGCAATCGGCATGATCATTTAAAGTATTTGCAAAGAAAATCTTCCAAACATAATTTGGATTTAGGTAATTTCAACATCTACTACTTGGATCCAAGTAGTCAGCAATCTGTTCTCTGTCAGTGGTTCGTGCACAAAACAGATGAAATCTGATAGAGAGATCTGAGAAATGGCTAGGAAGTGGGGAAATGTGGGAAGATCTGGACGTGAAGACTTGAAGAGGGAAATGGGGATAGAGAAGCGGTTGATGCCGAAAGGGAAGATGAAGAAATGGGTGCAGTATTGCATAGGGGAAATGTGAAAGGGAAGGAAGGGGCAAAGGAATCCCCTTTTCGTATCACATTTAATACTTTGGGAATAGAATTACAATTATCTCTGTTGCACGAACATTTCAACTATGTGTCGGATACTGACCATCCTCGGACACTACCATAGTCATTTTTCATTCTTTATTAGAAATATTATATAATTTTAATTCAAAGTTATTATTAAATAACAAATAAGTGAGTCTATTTAAAAGATTTCAACAAGAAAAATTAATCACAAGTATAAAATCAAATTTATATTATAAATGAAGAATTTTAAAGAATTTAATTACTTGTCAGGGATGTATTATGTTAGTACTTTTTTGAAAAATCACTTGTGCATCGTAGATAATTATACTCACTAATAAACAAATCCTCAATAGGAAGCTTCTCTTGTACAGGGTCTGTTTTTATTTGGATTAATTTTTTATGACTAGAAGCTTTTTTTTCCTAATATTGTCCGGGTTTCTTATTTTGTATTCCAAAATAATTTCAAAATAAAAATTTAAAATCAATATTATTATTATTATTATTATTATTATTATTATTATTATTATTATTATTATTATTATTNTGACTTAAGAGCTGGTAAAACTATGCTTCATGCAAATTTTTATTGTTTAATAGTTATATGCAATTATCTGACTGTGCGACAAAGTGCTATTTATTTAACTTGTGATAAATCTTCTGATGTGTAATTAATGCTAGCATTGTTTTCTTTGAACATTAGATCCCACGAGTTTTTCTTTATTTGAATCTTTCTTGTAGCTGTTATGCAAATGCTGTGCTTCAATGTTTGACATTCACACCACCCCTCACAGCTTATTTTCTCCAAGGACTCCATTCAAAAGCATGTAAGTTCCTCCATCTTGGTCCTGTGTTCTCAATTAACCATTTGGTGAATTCTATTTTCATGCTCATATAGCCTTTTCTCGTTGACTCTAGTTTTTGGAATCTTTTGGTTATTGTATTGTATTTAATTCCATTACTTTTTTCTGTCTGTATCAGGTGAAAAAAAAGAATGGTGCTTCACTTGTGAGTTTGAATCTCTTGTTTCAAAGGCCAGGGAAGGTCTTTCTCCTCTCTCGCCCATTAGGATAATATCTAAGTTACAGAACATAGGAAGTCATCTGGCTAATGGGAGGGAAGAAGATGCTCATGAATTTCTTAGGTAAGCTGGCTTTTACCTACCTGGTAAGCACATATTTTGCAGCTTAATTGTTGATTTATCACTAATTTTATGCCTATATATTTTAAATCTAGATGTGCAATCGAATCCATTCAATTTGTCTGCCTGAAGGAATCTGGGATTAAGGAACCAAGACCTTTGGATGAAGAAACAACTCTCATGGGGCTCACTTTTGGGGGTTACCTCCGATCAAAGGTGATTTGAGACAATTTTTGGGTACTATGAAATTGAGAGACGTATTGCTTTGAGAATATTCTATTTAGATTTTAATTTTGATTGTGAATGTGAAAGTACAGATTGAGTGCATGAGGTGCGGAGGCAAATCTGAGCGTCACGAAAGAATGATGGATCTTACTGTTGAGATAGGAGGAGATATAGGAACCCTGGAAGAGGCCATAGAGCAATTCACTCGCACCGAGACTTTAGATGGTGAAAATAAGTATAGCTGCAGCAGGTCTGTTGATCCTGTTTGTTTTGTGGTCTTGAGCATAAAAATAAAAAAAGAAAAAGAGGAGACAAATGGATTATTTTTTCTTGGTTTCATGCATGGCTTTCTCAGTGATGACCTGGTTTGGTTAAAACACTTTCGGGTTTCTTATTCTTGACCTTAATGTGGTAAACTTGACCCCTGTTTAAGTCCCATATTTCCCAGAACTCATTTTTCCAAAACTCATTTTCAACCACACATTCTCCAAAAAAATCATTATCCCACAACATGTTGTGGATAAAAATGGAATGGTACCATAATTTAATGGCATGACACTCGTCTTAATTGCTTTAAAGAACTGATATGCCATCAGAACTCAATAATCTCATCCTGTAAATCCTTATTAAAAGCCAGTTTACATTAAAAGCCAGTTTACATATTTCAATTGTTATAATGCGACTATGATGTCAACAAATTCGTTTTGCATCGGATTTGAGATTGATTAAACTTTTTCCTCCCCCATGTGTCGTAATAGATCATTTGTTCCACGGTCAATACCTATCTGTTTTTTATGTGGTTGTGTATATATGTAGGCATCAAATTTTTTCAGTAAGTTGAGATGGGATTCTTGGCATGTTAATCATATGTCCGGCTAGCAAACGGAAATCTCTCTGGATATATGAACCAGGAAAAGCCATTTTCGCCCTAAAACATCTTCTCATTAGATCTATGTAGTATTCAGTTACATGGACAGATTGATTGAATACTTGCAACTCTCTGGTAGAGAATAGAAAAGGATCCGTTCACTAATTTCACCTTTTTATTTTTTGGTGACTTTTTGCGTACAATTTTATTCTCGACTTCCAAGTTGTTGATAGTTGATGAAGTAGGTTTATATTTCAATTCTGACGGAATACATGAGAAGACCTATCAAACTACATCTTGATTTTGTCAGATGTAGATCATATCAGAAGGCCAAAAAGAAGTTGAGAGTACTGGAGGCCCCTAATGTCCTCACTATTGTTCTAAAGAGATTTCAGGTTATCATTTTGATCGAATATGTGTTTCATCTGTTTTCAAGTTTCTATGAGTTGCTTACCTTTTTTGTGTTACAGACCAACAAATTTGGGAAGCTGAATAAGAGAATTAAGTTTCCAGAAATTCTGAATATGGCCCCGTATATGAGCGGGACAAGTGACAAATCCCCAATTTACCAACTTTACGGAGTAGTAGTGCACTTGGATGTTATGAATGCTACATTCTCCGGTCACTACGTGTCTTATATAAAGAATAACCAGGGCAGGTGGTTTAAAGCTGATGATAGCACTGTATGTCCTTACCTTCTCCTTCTAAAACATCTTTTATTGTGCCACAATAATTCATCTTCTTGGATTTCACTTCAATGTTTTACACCTATTGAAATACTTTATCTTTCCCTTGGAGGCATTGATTCATCCATATGATATAAACTGGAAATTGTTTTGCTCTGACAAGATAATTGTTTCCAAAGGCTCTTTTAATCATGATATCCTTTGTGTTGTGTACAAGGGGAAATTTGACTCGTTATGTAGGGTTTTTAGCATGTCACAAGGAACGAAGCCACCCACCTTAAAATATAACCAAGGAACAAAAGGAACGAGGCCATCAGAGAAAGGGAGCAGGGAAAAGATAATGTTTGTACACCTGGTTTGGTTGATGCAAGTATCTTGGCTTCAAGGTGTCAGTAACTGTCCTCTGGGGGACATTTGAGTAGCATTGTTAGACTCTGGTTAAGTATGCAAAAAATTCTGTCGGCTAACACCTATATTATATCAAATCCACCCATGGACAGCAAGTTTGTACACTTAGGTTGGTTGGTGCAAGTATCTGGGTGTAACTAATTGTCTCTGTTTAATAAGGGAGATGGTTGAGTAGCATTCTTAGGCTTTCTTCGAGTTTGGCAGCAAGTTTGTACACCTTGTTGGCTGCTTTTCAAGTTTTGTGTTCTACACGATGATTTTATTACCGAAATTAGGGCACTCATATTGGAACCAATCTTGTTTTTGTCCAGATTCGTCACTTGTTGGGAATTTGCACGATCCAAAAATAGTATGGTAGTGCACTGGGATTGTGTTTGAATTTTACTTACCTTTTGTAGTTGGACTATCACAAATTTTGGAATAGGGACTGGATAGGTTTTATTATGCTTGCTCTATTTTCTGCCTTGTGTATGTGCATCTCAAAGTTTTTAATCTGATATTATTTATCTGGTTATAGGTGCAAGTTGTGGAACTTGAAAAGGTTTTGATGAAAGACGCATACATGCTTCTCTATGCAAGGTGAGATGTTTTTGGTGTTTGAATTTCTTTGGCCCTTCTTTTGTTCCTCATTTCTTTGGTTTCTGATTTGATTGAATTCTTCATAGGTGTTCACCACGTGCCCCAAGACTAATAAGGAGTTCAATAGTTCCTTGTGATACAAGAGAAGCAAAACATCCGACATGTAAGTCAAGAGCTCACTCAGCGGATCGACAGGATGTTTCTACAGGCAAATTGAATGTTCAGACCTGCAATGACTTTCCCTTTAATTGCACGAGTTTCCAGCCAATTCAGAGAATTTTGGAAGAGGACTGTTGGAGCGAGAGTTCGTCTTTCTTCTCTGAAGTTGGTTCTTACAGTACAGACAGCACTAACATGGAATCAACAAGCACTGATGACAATTTTGATCAAATATTTGGCGATAATGGAATCTGTTGGAATAGATCATGGGGGAACTCCACAGATTCTGACACAGCATCGTCATCATCCTCTCCATCTCGATTGCATTCTAGGCATTCTCCAATTGCCGATTTCGACTGCAGCTCTTCCGGATATCCCGAGAAATGTTGTCCTTGTGCAGAATCAGTGGTGGATCATCATGGTTTTTGTTCAGGCGAGGGGAGAGGATCTCTTTCACGTCTTGAACAGTGTAGAAAGTTAGTCGATAGATGTAGTAGTTGTAGGGAGCCAAACTCCAATAAATTACGATGGAATTATGATAACGCTAAATGTAGTAGTATATCTTGTTTAAGAAGATCCACGAGGGAGAGAGTTGATTGAACTTTTCGTTCATATGGTGGAGAAGGGAATAATGAGTTTGAGAAGAGGATTTCAGGGAGTCAGTGTATGCATGGAAGACGCGCACTTGCTCCTGTTGGAAATGAGTATCGTTTTTCCACCCACTTACCCATTAATCCATAATGCAATAAATATTTAAGTATTAAATAGCATTAAACTTATCATGATAATAGTTCTATTTTCTGTTGATGCCAAAATTTGGTTTGCTGTGAGGATGAAACAAGATTTAATCTATAATCAAATTCGAGTCTTTGAGACCGTTCGACGAAGTTTTTTCATATTACTTTTTGTAGCAGTGTTACGAGCAAGTTATTTTGGATTGGTTTTAATTAAAAAATATTTGAATCAGGCAAAACTATTTTGAAAAATTATCCAAATAAGTTTAAAAGCAACTATTGGAGGGTGTATTCAATTGAGATTTTTGGACAATTTTATGGACTTTTTAGTGGAATAAATTTTTGTGAAATTTGTGGATTTTCATAGATTTGTAGAGAATTACTGGAAGTCATTCGTAGACTTGAACCGAATTTAATATTATAACTTTTATAAAGTCCGCTTGACTTTTGAAAATTTTCATTTAAAATATAATTTACTTAAATCTAGTGCAACAATGAGAAATTCACATAGAACGTGGAGGTTTGATCCCCCTCACCTCTTTCATGTAATGTTTTTTTAAAAGAATAAAAAATCACATTAATTAAATAAATAAATAATCAAAATGCAAAAAAATTTATATATAGAATTTCATTATTCTTTGATAAAAGAAAGGGATAATTACAGCAGCGGTGCTAAACATTTCATTTAGTAGCAGACTTTGTCCAAACCTTTCATTTGTGCTACACACGGTACCAAACCTTTCATTAGTGCTGCATACGGTACCAAACCTTTCAAAATGTCGCAGTTAAAGCCCAAATGGATGATTTTTATTAGTTTGATCATTAGTTGACCAAATAATTGACATTGACAATAATTTTGACTAATTTTAAAATTTTAAAATAGTAACTTTACATTTTTTATAATAAAATAACTAAAAACAAATAATTAAAATCAAAAATCAACTTCTTCTTCTCCGTCCATGATCCACCTCACACATACCTACCCCCACCCCAAAACCATTACCATCACTGCCATCTCCTCTATCGCCACCTTCATTCTCATCACCCAACAAATTTTTTCATCCCGCTCTTTGATCCTTTGAAAACCTGCAAGTGCATAATATCGTGATCAAGTAATATAATGATGAATAGAGTGTCGAATCCATGAGTACTATGTGTTTGACCGAGTTAAAATTAATTGCAACTTTAATCGAGTAACAAATAAATTTTGTGATTTTTTCTATACTAATACTTAAATTATCAATTAAGCTAAAGAAATTACGTAAATATGTTTTTCAAATACGTGAGATGCATTGATAAGATATCGAACCCCCCTTATTTTATTTTATTGTAACAATTAAAGTGACAGTTTCAAATCATTCATATTGGTCAATGTCCCTAATTTAATTGAAAGCGTCTCTGATAGCGATCAAATATATTCCCCTCATGTGACCCTTTTATCTCTCGATGAAAGATGCAAATATGATAAATACATTAACAAGTACTAGAACACCTATTAAAACCATATAAAGCAAGGGATCTCTCTCTCTCTCTCTCTCTCTCTCTCTCTCACACACACACACATCTATTGAACCTTACAATATTTAGGCCCCGTTCGGGAGGGATTAAAATCCAATTAAAATTGAAAATATGGCTGTTATTGGGTCCCACCCGTCTAATAAAAGTCAACAATAACGGCTATATTTTCAATTTTAATCCCTCCCATACAAGGCCTTATTATATTATGCTTAAACTCCATTATCTCTCGATAACAATAAAATTCACTAACAATGCAATTAGTGATCAAGCAATTGAAAATAACAATAAAGACGATAATAAACATCTACAAACCAAATCAAATTAAAGTCAAAATAATTAATTTAAAACTAAAAATATCATAACATGGGTTCATACCATCCTAGCAATGTATGAAACTAGCATAACATGTTGAAATTATAAGAAATCATATTTAAGTGAAAAGATATAACCCGGATTTTTGATAAATTGAGAAGATGAAGATGAATCTTGAAATCTTGAATCTCTTCAATGGTTTCTTGATAAATCTCCACTTGCGCATTATCTTCTTTGTGCAAAAAAATTAAGTTTGAATCTCCACTTGATTGAATTCTTACAAGTCTCATAACTTTGAATTTTCCTCATTTAATAATAATAATTGATGAATATTAGAGTGTGAGATGTATACGAGAGGTCTCTCGTATGTATTCTACTGCTAGGTATTTGTAGGAGTGTAAAATTGGTTGAAAATCACATCCAAATTGATTTCTAAAAGAATTCAAATCGAATAAGGAAAGTTGTATTTACGCGCGATTTTTTTGTCACTGCACATCAATCAGTATTTTGGTCATAAATTTTGTCTTTCGATATCCGATTGAGACGATTCAAAGTATTTTGAAATCTGATTCAAATGGCTACAACTTTAATAGAAAATATAATGTTTCTCATTTGAACGTTTACTATGCCAAAAATCGGTTTCAATCTTCGATTAAAAATCTGTAAGATAACTTGTGTGATTGGAAATTGATTTTGATCATATTCCATTCGTTTTTGAGTTCTAATTTCATCCAATTGTCTCCTAAAATTTTTCAAAGTATCGTCTTATGGTCCGAATTAACTATTGAATATTTACAATTTGGTCCTCAAACTTTGGACTTTGTCATTTTCCTTAATTTTTCTTTTGTTTTTTTTCCAATTCTTCCTTCAAGCATTGAGTTTTAACATATATAAGATAAAATACAACAATTTAGGATATATTTTGTCAAAAGAATTACCAAATATCGATATTTTAGGCTCCGAATAAGTGTATAAAATACACTTATCAAACAAATATCCACTATTACAATGCAAAACTGACGTGTGTGTGTGAAGAACTAAGTAGACCATTATGAATTTACAATTTACTTGAATTACCGACCCTTTGTGGTCAAAATATATCCTATCATATTTGATAAGTGTGTTTTTACATACTTATTTTACTGTTAAAATATGAGCAATTATTGATTAATATGTTGGAATATAGCTTAATTCTATGCAATTCATGTTTTGCAGGACAAGTGATGAATGTAGCGGAAATAAGGAGAAACAAGTGAAAAATGACCAGAATGGAAGAAAGTGAAAATTCAG